CGGTACACGACATAAGGTAGGATAGGGCGTCCGCGCCCGTGAAAAAGAATTCGCATTCAACAGGAAAAAATGCCAATTCAGAAATGATGTCTCTTTGGAGGCAGCTCTGGCATCTTCCTCGCTGGTTGCAGGCAACAGTTGATGAGGCTGAGAGCACGGACTCCGACAATGGGGGGGAGGGTGCTTTCCCTTGGGAGGGGTACTGCATTGCGCCGCGCTGCTTTGACAGCCCCGAGAGGCAGGCAGCCCCGCAAGAGATGGAGGCCGGCCAGCCTGCGCACCCCCCCATCAAGGTGTACCGCCTGCCCCTGCGCCACAAGGTCCCCGGCATGGTGAGGCAGCATTTCCGAGTGCCGTGTATGTGTGCAAGCAAGCAACAAAAATCCCGTTCTGATGTCGCAGCCGCTCTGAAACGAGCATTTGCATGTGTCAAGTTTCAAACGGCCAGCCTGGAGCTTGGGCAGTTGCATCAACCTGTTGGGCTGGTTTTCGGGGAACCCTCATTGCTGACTCCTCCCCGGGCCACCCGATGTCTTGAACCGCAGGACTTTAGATGGAAAGTAGGCCTCAAGGCGCAGAGCATTGAGGGTTGTGACCGCCGGGAGCTGCAATTCAAAGCCTACAAAGCATTGGCGCTTCCTCATGTCCTAGGCTTAAGTGAGTCAGATAGCTTCTGCGGCGTACATCGCTTTGTTGTCTTTGGGCTTTGAAGCCAGTTGTGGTTTATAAGCGCCCGCATGAACCGCTCTTGTCCTTAGTTTGCTGCCCGTGGCCGTCCTGCGCAGCCTCTTGCATCCCAACTTGCTCCGCTCCTGCACGCCAGCGTCTTTAGCTGTACACTCCAGCAAACATCGACGGGTGCTGTGGAAATTGCAGGCGATGATGCTCACTGGCGCTGGCCGTTCATCCCCGTCTCATTTCTGGTGGGGCTCAAGGGGGCTGCAGCGCTGCCACACATGGGCTCACGGCCCAGGCACCCCCCATCGAAATCAGTCCCAACCATCTCGTGGGTGACTCCAGCCGCCAAGGTCAAGATACTGAGCCCATTGGGTGGTTCGCTTGGTGAGGGGAGTGGGAAGTCAATATGGTGCATTGCAAAGTGGTCCAGCATCGGCCAATCTTGCTTGGAAGCCATGGAAGTCCAAGCTTGTTGTGATAAGAATTGCTGATCCAGAAAGCAGCGTTACGTTTTGAAGCTTGCGAGGCGACAAGTGTGTGTGATTAGCAGACAGCATCAATGGCGTTGACCCTGTCATGGTTGCCCCACGTGTCGAGCTGCCAACCTGTGGTCTGTGCAGGCCTGCGGCCCACTATCGAGATCCTGCCGGAGTCAAAGGTGACCATCCAGCGAGACGTCCGCATTGCAGCCCACTCGTACCTCACTCTGGGGCTCACCCTCCAGGTGGGGCCCTGCCCACGAACGCCCCCAGATGCATCTTAACACCCACTCTGTGCGCCCTGCGCTCATGTGAAGTTTGCTTGCTTGGCAGATACAGCGTCGCTCATAGCGTTTTTGGGTAACATTCTAGAGTTGCGACCTTGCAGCGAGGCGACAAGGGCCCCTGTTGTTTCCCCCACGCTGGTCTCCAGCTGGGCTGGAAGCACAGAAGTCTGGTGAGGTGCCTGCCTTTGTCGCTCTGGGCCCTCTTGCTTGGTGCCCTTTCTTTAGGCCTTGAAAGTTCAGTATGGTGCTTTTGCAGAGGAGTCAGCTGCGTTGATGTGTTGTAAGGTCGTTTTCCAAGCTGTTTACTGAAAACTGCAGACAATACCTATCTGACGATATTTCTAGAAGCTGTGGTGGCAAAACCGACCTGTGAGCTTGAGAGTTTGTTCTCGGACAGGTCAGAGTACAGCCACAGGGGCAACATGAAAGACCGCGGGTTGAGTACCGAGGAACGGTAGAACTCCCTTGGGACTCCACAGCAGTGAGTCATCTTGCTCCTGGCTTGTCACTCTTGTCCAGCAAAGACAACCCTGTATGTAGCCATTGAATCTGCTCTCTCGCACTTTGCTTGTGTCCTAAAGTCGGAGGAAGTCGAGAAGGAAGTCGAGGAGAAAGTCCTGACTTCATATTGCGGGACATACTCAAATGGTTCTATACATAGTTTGATCGATGCTCCTTCTCTTTTGCAGTCACTACGGGCTCATGCCGAAGTGCCACTGCATTTCTCAAAAGATGGCGGCATGCAGCAACGAAAACCACGGGTGGACTCAATGAAGCTGACCAAATTCATTGGGAAGCGGGTGAGGGCAAGAAAATATGCCAACATGCGGGGAGCACCAAGTGTATACCAGGGCCTATGCCTTCAACTAGCATCCTTGCTACTTGTCAATCCTCGCTGGCAGTGCGACCCTCGTGCGCAATCTCGTTTGCATCCCCCCTGATCGCCACTTCCACCCTCGCTTTCAGGAGGCGCGCACCAGCCCTGCTCCGACCTGGCGGTACCTGGAGGCGCAGCGGCGCATCGGCAGCCGGGACGAGATCGTGGTGGTGCCGGGGCACTTCATTGACCCTGAGGGGGATACGGGGGCGCCCGGAGAGCGCGACTTCAACAAGACGGTGAGCGTAACTGGATGGCTGCACTAAGGACTGAAAGCGGGGACAGCGCGAGCGCATTTGTCACGAGAACGTAGCTCCTGGAGTTCCATAAAGTATTCAGGAGCTTTACCATTACGTTGGCGCAGGTCGCAGAAGTGGGTCTGGATGCAATCTCGTAAGCAAACATTGCGCAATGCTGACATGTCCAAACCTTCGCCTTTCGTAAACGGTAGACTGTACGAAGGGTTGGTGCTCGATCAAAAGGTAATCCTGTTCCCGTCGAGCGCAGGGTTACCAAGTGCACTTGGCATGCCCTGCCAGAACCCGGTTGGGATCTTCGAACTTTGCCAGGAGCCATAATACTTTGCCGTTTTGCCCCTCGCTGTGGCCGTCATTCCCCACATTGTTTTCAGGTGGCAGAGAAGGTGGCAGCTCGGCTGGGCCGCACGGGGTGGCGCGTGCTGCGGCCTGACCGCGACGCGCCGCACTTGATGTGGGAGGAGTACATCAACTGGGTGAGCGCGCGCACGCTGCGCGGGGTGCCCGTCGTCGAGATTCACGGGCAGGGGCCCGAGGCGCACACGGAAGGGGCCGTCTGGGGCGTCATTGGAGATGCGCGCGCGCCCCTCAACAAGGTGACGCATAGCGCCTGACGGCAGATCAGCGAAGCGCAGGACGCAGCATTTTGCTTGGTTCGAGCTCGTACGGAATCCTACCCTACCCCCATATGCATTCGGCGTTCAAGCGTGCTGCCTTCTCTGGGCTATCATTTTCACCCCGTCGCCATCTGAAGAAGCACGTTCGTGATGCTTGCATCTACGACGCCCTGCAAAAGGTGCGCCAGCGGACCCTAAGATTTCCTCACACTGAAGACTATGCAAACGATCAGTCGAAGAGGTTCGAGGCCTCAGTTTCTGATTCGTTGATTCACCTGTCTGCCGCCTGGTCGGAGCGACCTGTTTGACAGCAGAAGGGCGTGTGGGTAAGCGGGTTGTCTGCGTGGGTGTGCAGGAGTTGGCTAAGGAGTTCGGGTGGTACCCCTCCGACTGGAAGGAGCTGGCGGTGCCGCGCAGGGGGGGGGTCATCATCGAAGGCTTCAACTCCGACGAGGTGAGGCCGGCCCCGGGCTCTCGATGAAAGGGACTGTCCGCAGGTGCTCGGGCCAGGTCGCGATTCCCGGGGCACTCGGTCTGAATGTTTCCTGTCATCTTACACATTTGGATTAGTCCTCCTGAACTGACGTGCTTGGCTGACAGCCACACCCTCCCTGTTGAAGGAGATTCTCGTTCTGGAGCCTTCTGACAACTGGACATAAAATTCCACATACCGGGAGCACCAATCACTCACGGCCCTTTTCGATTGGATGTTTGCGTCAAGGTGCAAAGTCTCTTCTTTCCCTTGGTTCATTCACGCTGGGGCCCTGCTTGTGGCGGCAGGTCCTGGCGATGACTGCGGAGCGGCGCGAGTTGGCTGCAGACCGGCTGGCGTGGCGGGTGTGGCAGTGCATCGAGGAGGCCGGGGAGACGAACCGGGCCAAGAGAGGGATCAAGAGCGACCGGGGGGACAGCAAGCCGACAGGGCCGGAGGCAGTCAGCGCACAGGTACCAAACGAGGTGACGGCAGCACACGCATCCGCAGAGTTAGACGAGAGGGGAAGAATGAGTACGCACAGCCCAGGTACGCATGCAGGTGAAGCGGGGTCCAACGGAGGATCGGCAGCGGCGACAGCCAGCTTAGACAGCGGGATCCAGCCGGCCGGGCTCGACAGGGGGGGTACACAGAACCACGCGCAGCACAAGTTCAACTGACAGGTCAGGCCAGCAGGTCGACGCATTGTTGCGTACGAGAGTTATATTGTTTCTGCGCACCCGTACATTTGACACCTGGAACAGTCGTGAGCCGCTTGACTGCTCCAACATACTAGCCTCGACTCTTCCGGCCTCGAACCTGCAACCTTCATGACATACATTTACCGAACACGCACTTGCTTCCGAATGCTTGTTGAGCTGCTGAATGCAAATGAGCGCACAACCATGCAAGAGCCCGATGGTTTATGAGTGCAGGGTGCCTGAACCCACCGTCTTTGATGCTTCTACATCACTCAGAAGAGCTTAACATATTTGGCCTGTATGGTGGTTCTCGACTTTGACTAAAACATGCACTAAAGGTTCAAGCTTGACCGGAGTCCTCTGATCAACTTCGAAGTCCTTGCACAAGTCCCCCGCTGCACAGTATGCACGAAGGCTTCGAAGTGCTCGTGCAGGCGGCAGCTCATGCAATGTAACGTACGGCGCCGCCAACCGCGGGCTTGTCGTCAAATCTCAGTTGTCTATATACCTGAATAACCGGAACCGGAATATCATGTTCTGCATATACTTTTATGAATCTTTCCGATGCTGCAGGCTGTTCAATATATGGTACAAGTTGAAGCTGCCAGCCTGCACAGGCACTCCTATGGAATTCATGCAATTTGCAAGCTCATGCAGATCATGGCGCCATATCAGCCGGAACCGTTCCTCTGGGCTGCAGCTGCGAGCCTGCGCAGCGGCAAGGCCTCCGCGGCCCTCGGACCATACTACCTACCTAGGTAGGGCCTAGTCAGTGCTAGATTTCATGCATTTTATGTACGGGCCGCCGTTGGGAGTACGGCACACTGTCACAATCTGCGCCGACAAGCATAGAGTTACTCCTCATGCAATAATTGAAGCCGACGCATCGTCTTATATGCATGCACGCGGTTGCATGCAGTGCAGTGCACATGCAGGGTACGAAGGGTTGCCCAATGCCGACCGGCTTCCTCCTCTGAGCGGCGGCGCTGCAGCTGATCGAGATCAAACTCGGCCAAGGCTGGTGAGTGCAGACTCCCGAGTGCCAGAGGCGGCCTCCTGAGTCCTGCCAAAGGAAAGAGACACCGCAAAAGACCAACCTGCAGCACGTATCCTTTACGAATACGAGGATGAAGGTCCTGATCGATGGCCGATGTAGTTAGCTGGACATCTGATCAAAAAGGTTCTCTTGCAAATGCAACCTGCAGTCCACATGCAAGAACAACAGTAACTGGTGAAAGTATTCGCCACAATCTGACGCAACAAACCTTCTGAAGCAGGGACTGAACGTGCGATCATTCAGAACCACTGTCAGCAAGCGCTCCTGAAAACACAATTGACCGAGTGTTGGCGATACGTTACATGCACGGTACGGTTTTGATGCTGTCCTTTTCCGCCCAGCTAGTCCTACGGGAGCACGGCCCACGGAGCAAGACGCAGGAAGAAATGTCCGCAACTTTCGGCACATGAGCAATTACTTTGGAAGCTGCTGGTAGCAACTGTGACCTTGATCGGTTTGCTCAGTCTAGCAAATTCTTGTTAGGAACATTTACTGGTTGAAGCCCTGTGTGTCTCTTGTGTGTCTCTCGATTTTCGATGGCGTCGTGCCCCGTTTCTGCTGGCTCTGCTGGCTCCACTGATGGCGGTGGGGCGCGGCCGCTGGCGGTGGTGGTGGTGGGCGGCAGCATCTGCGGCCTGGCAGTGGCGCACGGCCTGCTGCACGCGCTGCCCGGCTGCAAGATAACCGTCCTGGAGCGCGCGCACCACATCACCGAGGGGGGCGCGGGGCTGGGGCTGGACCGCGAGACGTGCGCCGCGCTGGCGGACTGGGGCCTCGCAGCGGGGCTGCAGGAGGCCAGCCTGCCGCTGGACGCAGAGATCAACCGCGCGGTCAACAGCAAGACCAAGACGGCGCGGGAGATCTACCGAGATGACCACTACGACCACCGCAGGTACGCGCGCTGCGCACGAGGAGTGGCACATGGCGAGCGTACTCCCTGAAAAGGCTTTTCCTCGAGGTGCATTCAACTGCTGGTTGCCTCAGTTGCCCAATGTCTCTGTGAATTCTCTGCTTCGCAAGTGATGTCGCCCGTCTTGCTTGGCCCGAGGTCGTGAGCACGTGGCGGGTTGGTGGTGTGCGGTGCAGCTGCCACTGGGCTCTGCTGCACCAGCTGCTGCGCGGCGCGCTGCCCGAGGGCGTGCTCCTGCTGGGCCACACGATGACCGCCTTCGAGAGCATCGACGGTGGGCGCAGGGTGCGCGTGCACGTGGCGGAGCGCGCAGAGCCGCTGGAGGGCGACCTCATGGTGGCGGCGGACGGCAACATGTCCAGCACGCGCGAGAAACTGGTGGGGGACAAGAGAAGGTGAGGGGAACAGGGGGCGTAGGGGACGAGGGGCAGGCATCGGTGCAGACACCCTCCAGGCGAGCCAGGGGTCGGTCTCCGGGCAGGCAAACGATCAATTCTGCCTGTGAGTTTGGCGTTTTTAGACTGTCTACTTGTGCGCAAAGGGCATGGGGACGGTCGGGTTTACCGAAACGCATTTGCGGGCAGACGGATTGAGCGGGCCGATGGAAGTGTGCAGGTATGCGGGCTATGTGGCGTGGCGCGGCGTGATGGCCGCGGATGAGGAGAGCAAACAGGCGACGGAAGACGATGCCCAGCTTGGAGAAAGCAAGCACAGGTGTGCATCGAGGCTCGAGCTTCTTTTCATTCAGAAACGGCTGGGAATACAAGTTTCCCCCGTGCCAAAGCAGACTGTGCCTTTCTATGCTCAAAGGAGTAGCCCAGTATTATAGACGATTCGGCCTCTTTGCCGTTCGCTGTTCAGCGCCATGCGGCGTGCTGGCTCTCGTGAGAGGGTTGTGACGGTGCGTCCGTGCGTGCGTGCCCTGGATGCAGCGGGGCGGCGGCGGTGGCGCGTCACCTGCAGCACGAGTACCCGGCGCTGGGCCGCGCGCTCTACTTCGACCTGGCGCACCACACGCACAGCGTGCTCTACATGCTGCCAGGCACCCGCATCAACTGGCTCTGGTGCGCAGCGAGACCCGGCCAACCCCAGCCTCCGCAGAATCAGTCCGTGTTGTCAAATGCCTCCGATGATGTCAGTGCACGAGGAGTTTCTGGCTGTTTGAGGAGTGAACGCAGTTGTAGTGCCCCAAACACTGTGTCTCCAGTTGGCGAGTGACCGTGGGGTTGCCAGGAAGGTCCAAGGGCATGGTAGCGCGTTTTTCCGCTCTGCAACTTTCAAGTCATGCATCGGAAAGGGAGGACAACGTCTCAGCGTCGCCCCCGACTGATCCACGCCGAAGCCTTACGGCGTCGGGTGCCGCTTTGTGTTGCCTGAACGTCCGCGATTGTTGCCTGCAGGTACGTGAACCAGGCGGAGCCGCCCCTGTCGCCGCACTCGCTGACGGTGCAGCCGGACGCGGCCCAAGTGGAGCGCATGCGCGAGGACGCCGCGCGCACGTGGACCCCGCCCATGGCCGCGCTCATGCAGGTCAACCACGCAGCACCACAACTCGGCTGCCGAAGTGTGCTTGAATGAATGTATTGCCACCCGGCACCGCCTTAGTTCGAGGTTGATCCTGACCTGCATTCTGGAGACACTCGAACCTGACACAAGCCTGGTTAATAATATGAAACTGCTGCCTGACCCTCGCTCTTCCCGACGGCTGACGCCTCTTCGGCTTTTGTCTGCCCCCGCCCCTCTGCCAAGGCGACGGCGCGGCCGTTCATCAACGCCATCTTCGACCGCGACCCCATCTCCCGCTGGGTCTTCGACCGCGTCGTCCTCGTCGGCGAGGCCGCTCACCCGGTGAGCCCGCCCGCCCGCCCGGCAAACCCACAGCCGCGCTCGCGCTCGCGTCCACGCTCCCGGCCTGAGCCCCGCGGGGAAAACGTCAAATATCCATTTCAACTTTGATTCTGCCTGCTGTGTTCCCAACGCTTTGAGCACCCCCTCGAAGCTGTGCGGACGCTGACGCGTGGTCGCGGGGGGGCGACACGTTGGCAGGTGACGCCCCACGGGCTGCGCGCCACCAACATGAGCATCATCGACGCGCACACGCTCGCGCGCTGCCTCAAGGAGCACCTCGCGGCAGGCGGCACCGCGCGCGACCTGGACGCGGCGCTCGACCGCTTCCAGAAGGCGCGCATCCCGGTCACCACGCAGGAGGTCAGCGCCCCGCCCGACCTCGCGCCACGGTTTCTGCTTAGAGAGAATCTTCAAAACCCTGTGTAGAAACCTGTGTCAATAGACGATAGTTACGCAGGCCTTTCAATCGGCCCGTCTGAAGAATTTGATATGGAAAGAGAAGAGGATTCCAGGTTTGTGTTGCACCAGCAGTTTACAAGAGCAGGGCATAGCAGAGGCAGGCCCTGAGGCGAGATGGAATGTGGTAGCACCCGTAACGGGCTAGCGGCCGCCTCCCATCGCCGGTAAACCCCACTGGCCCCGGTTCCCCCGGCTGTGCACCTGGCTGGCGACGGTGTTGTAGCCGGCGGGTGACCGTTGCTGGTGGGCGTGGCGCAGGTGCTGTTCTCGCGGTACCTGGGCCAGCTGAAGCAGGGTCTCGTGACGGTGCCGGGCATCCACGACTGGGACGGCGCCGACGAGAACCAGGCCGCCGTGCTGGGGCAGAAGCACATGCACCACTTCAACCCGCTCGACTGAGCGGTGGAGCGAACGACTACTTAGAATAGGCTCGCTAAGTACTCCACGACGGCAGCAGGGCGGGTCAAAGTAGCTTCCATCCACATTATGCGCGTGCAGAGTAGAGCTTTAAGCAGGCGGCCAGAGCAGGCTGACAACAACTTCATGTGCCATGATCCTGTCGCATGAAGTGGAGGTAGGACGCGCGGAAGATTGCAGAGAGCACGTGGGGAATCTTGCTTTTCTCCGCCATTTCCACCGAGTGTTTGCTCCTGCACCAGTTCAGGGCATCAGCATGATGCATTCCACGGACCGCTGGTGGCTCGCGAGCAAGAGCTGCGCTTCGTTCGTGGAATAGCAAAGTCACAAGTTACCCGGACAATGCATGTGGTATATTGGTGCCGCATCCAAGCCTGAGCTGCAGTAGAGGCATTGTCGTCCTTGCTTGTTTGGCCGGAGTTTTCAGCAACCCGTTTTCAGCAACCAAGCCCTTAACATCTCCCTTGACACGCCGTGCTGCCTGTCTCAAGTGCACATGCGCCGATTCCTCCTCATCCGGAAGCCGCCCCTGCGGAAGCCGAACGAAAGTGGGCGCTGCATTGCTTCAACGGCCTGGATCGGATTATGCGCCGAAGAAACCTATACGGCCACCGTCCCAACTAGAACTCGGCGCCAAAACTCAATGGCCTGCAGCCATATTCCTAGCTTCCTGGACCTGCCGAGCGCGCCACGTCGATCGAAACTCGATACGTACGATAATGTCTGGCATTAGACTGACAGTGGTCCGACGGCGCTCTCAATTTCAGAACGGGGACGATCCATCCTGTCGGCAGCCATGGCACGTTGCGCCGGAACAACGTGAAGATAACCCGTACCGCATGCGTACATGTGCCAATGATGTATGGGCACATATATGTAAATGCATCGATCATGTCTGTACACGGGCGCCCCATGCCACGGATCAATTCTCTCGCGATCAATTGTCGGATGCATGCCAGAGTTTACGTGCACAAACGAAGGCTTCCGCAGGTCATTCGGTGAACGAGCTTTGCGTACACGCTTATTAACTTATGTGATCGCATGACATTAGACTACAGAATCTGGAGAAATCACTTTAATCCATGCATCACATGAGCAATAATCTGAGTCACCGCATGGGCGGCGTGCATGCGCGTATGACCAACTACGGCCTGGTTAGTTGTGACTAATATGTTCTCTTGGCGGCAATCATGGTGGAACTGACAGTGAAGCATAACGCCTTCAGGCGCTGCACGCCCCATCACGAGCTTTGATTCACTCATTCAGGCTAGCTGTGGCATGGTCGCGCATCTCATTTCAACGTGGACCGGCAAAGCAGCGCGAGCTTCTCAAAAACAAGTATCTGCACCTGCTTGTTGAGCAGCCCAAATGATAGTCCGACGGCTCAAATGATTGAGGGTCCGTCGCCACTGGCCGTGAAAACAAACGTCCTTACGTCCTTTGTAGCATTCAAAGGACTTGCCTCAGCGAGAGTCCACGGTCGGGCCACATACAAGGACCACGATACAATGTGGCGACAATAAGGGCTCGGGTCTTGAAATGAACCGGCCTGTGTCAGTATGAAGGTTCTCGGAAGCGAGAGCGTATTTGCAACTTCCCGTCTGCATCAAGCATCGGTGTTCAAAGTGGCAAATCAAGTTGGTGCACAAACAGAAGCAGTCCTGTACGAAACTCCAGGGCAGCCTTAGCGATGCAGCTGCTGTTTTGCAACCGACGTAGCGACGTTTTCGCCTGCCAGTCTCCCTGCCGTGCGGGCGCGTGCTCATTGTTTCTTGGCCAGCGACTCGCCGCGGTGCTCCTCTCCGGTGCCCACCGTGTACGCAGCCCCCACCTGCACAGCCAGGGGCGGTCAGCAGCGAAGGGGTTGACCGCGGACAGCGCAGCCCGGCCTCGTCGCCGCACTCCCCCATGCAACACACCGCTGGTTGGAACCAAGTGCACAGGGTTCGGCGATTCGAAGCAGTGGGTGCAGGGCGGGGGCGGCTCACGTAGCAGTCCTTGAGGGAGGCGCGCTCCTGTAGGTGGCCGCCCGCGCTGACCACCGAGTTCTGCACGTGGCACCCGTCCTCCACCACGCAGCCCGCCATGAGCACGCTGTTGATGATCTGCACGCACGCACGTCAACCAAATCAAGCTCACGCCTCATGACGCTCGCCAACCGCGCTCTGACAGGCCGGACACAAGCACACCAACCACACGCGGTAAAAGCACGCGGACCGCAATCAGAGACTCGCAGGTTTGCAAAATGTATAGCAGACTCTATTATTTATCGATTGAACAGCGGAAGAGCGCCACAGCTCCTGCCAGGGTGTTGAACAGGGCGTGTAGCGGCGGGGGAGCGGCCGTACCTTGACGTTGGCCCCGATGCGGCAGTTCTTGCCCAGCACGGACCGCTTCACGCTGCACTTGTCGCCCAGGCGGACCCCCTCCCCCAGCACGCACTGCGCGCCCACCTGCACACGCGCGCGCGCCCACCCCTGCTCAGCGCAAGCTGCCAAGGTGCCAGCCCGGGCATGAGGCCCAGCCGCCACAAGCAGCACGCGGCGCAGGTTGGGCGGAAAGGCGAGCGGAGGGGTGGAGAGGCGCGGCCTCACCGTGGTCTTGCTGCCGATCTCGACGGAGGGGTGGACCACGTTGTTGAAGGACGACACCGGGAAGCCCGTGAGGTGCACCGCGTCCCCCGCCACCTGCACCACGCACCCACGCACGCCGCTGAGGGCGGACCGAGACATGCCGCGCACGAAAGCGGGGGCCGGAGCAGAGGGGGGCAGCCTCGCACAGCAGCACCAGGAGTATCTGGGCGGACCGAGACAGCCCGCTGTATCAATCGGCAAAAACGTTGGACTTAAAGCACGCCCCTTGTCCAAAGAGCTATTCAGCGACCAGGACTTTCAGTAGTGTGCAAAGCCGCGCGGTTGCAGACGGATCGAGTCGAAGAGTCTCAACGGTGGCCCCGAGAGACGCCTCTGTTGGTTTCTTGGGAGCCAGCCACTTGCTTTGTGCAACCGCTCAGCGGCAGCTGGTCACCGCTGGGCAGTGCGCGCTGGGCGGCTGACCTCGCGGTTGACCTCGATGTACTGCTGCAGGCTGTTGAGGCGGTTGCAGAACTTGTCGGGCCCCGCGAGGTACACCCCGCACCGCCGCACCGCGCCCGCCAGGCCGCGCCTCGCCGGGTGCGACAGCGCCTCCACCAGCGACGGGCTGGCCACCGGGCCCGCCGCGCTGCCGCTTGAGTCCTCCCGCGACACCGCGTCATCGGGGCCCGACGACGGGCCCGTCACTGACGAGGGCAGGGGCGACAGCTGCGGCAAGGAGGCCCCGGAAGCTGAGATTCACGGTGCATTCAACATACCTTCCAGCGTCAGACACTGGTCTGGCAAGGAGGCGACGAAACTAACGTGACGAAACGAAGGGCGCCCTCCCAATGACGCCACAGGCAAGCCGTCAGCCACACGTCGACATGAAGCGACTTTTATGAAGCGCTTTTATGAAGCGACTTGTCCCTTTCCGTGATCAAGGTCGGATTCAAGTACGAAGAGATGCAAAGAAGGCAGGTTTAGACAGTCATTTTGCTCCAAGCATTTCTATATTACCAGAACCTGTACGTGAAAATACCTTATGGACGTGACTGCTGTAAGCGCCCTCAATTTATAAGAGGTTCGGGTTCTAAAGTTCAAGTCTCGTGTATCTCCTCTTTTCAACGCCCCACTGGCAGCTTCGATGCATCTGATGGCTGTCGACAGCCCATATTCGCGAACGAGGCCTTTGACGAGTGGCCTGCTGTGGACACTCCGAGAACATGATCTCAATGTAGCAGCATTACAATCGCTTGGATAACCATCTCAACTCTAACAGTTGATTCTATTCTGCTGTGTAATAAAAAGCAGTAGACCAGCAGTTTGTGTGAAGAAAACAAGTTCAGTCACAGTCAAGAGTAAGTGGCCCTCTGCTGCGTTGACCTTGGCTTGGGAGCCCCGGCAGTGGGGGGTGCGCGTGTGTTGTCGTACCTGGGTGCGCACGAGGTACGGCAGCAGGTCGCGCTTGACGCTGGCGATGCCGGGCTGCGCCTCCAGCACGTCCAGGACCACCCTACGCGCACCGCAGCAACCGCACGGGTAGCGAGAGCTCCGCGCACGGGCCACAAACGAGGAGTTTAAGGAAACGTTCCGACAGCATGATTGGCCCAGGGCTCAAAACAGTTCACCTGAGGCAGCATGGAAACGCATCTCGTCCTCAATCCTGGACGGCGAAGCAACTTCCCACCTGTTGAAGACGTAGAGGTGGGTGTCCATCAGATCGGTTCGCAACACCATCTGTACAAGGATGCCACGCAGGGACAAACGTTACAACGAAGGCGAGCACGAGTTGCACAAGCGCGGCTCGAGCAGCCGGCCCCACGCTCCTCGCACAGGCCAGTGCATGCCTCTCTACAGAGGTGCACTACACAACGGGAGGTCTGGAAAGACTGCCAATCATTTGCCAAGCAAAGGCAACGATTTTGGTAACCCATGCTTAAGAGACAATCCACCAATCCATATCAAACGTGCTCATATACTTCAGTGGTTCCTCGAGGCAGGTACATCTGGCCGCGCAGCATAATCGCCGTTCAGCGAGAGCCCTCCTGGCGTGGGGCCAGCGGAGGGCGGGGCCTGACCTGGCCGGCTGCGCGCAGGATGGAGCGCCGGATGCGCAGCTCGTGCTCCACGTCCGCCGCTGCACCAGCCCCACCACACCGCTCAGCCAAGGGCGAAGACGAGGCAGGGATGGTGGCACGACGTGGGGCGGGCACGGGCGCATCTTCTCGGGGCATCGAAGAGGCCCCAGGTGGCCACAGTGGGCTGGACTGCAGTGGGCGTACCTGAGGCGCAGAAGAGCAGGCTGCTGCCGTCGGTGGTGAGGCCGATGTAGTCCACGGGCGGGGCCGTGGTGGCCTTGCCCTTGTCCTTGCTCTCCGCCGCAAAGCTGCTGTTGGGCTGGGAGCACAGCAGGGCGGTCGCGGCCGCCGTGCTGCGGCAGTGCGCAGCCGCCACTGCCCCGAGCGCCACGTCACACACCAGGTCGCCGCTCAGAACCTGCCAGCAACGGGGAGAGGTTGGGAGGCAGGGGGAGAGGGGGAGGCGCCCCAGCAGGGGGGAGGCGCCCGCCTGTTCGAGGATGAACGGGCGAATCTTGAGCAAAGGCAAAGCCTCATTGGCAGGACGATATCCAGGGTGGGCGCCCTCACAATGAAATCTTTGGCCCGAATCTGGTGCGCCACCGCACGCAGCGCCTCCGCCGTCCCCGAATCCTCTGGCACCGCCGTCACCTGGCACAGCAGGGCAGCAACACGCGAGTCACAGGGCAGTCACCCGCAGTGAGGCAACAGGGAGGCAATCAACCTGGAAGAGCCGCGCCTCTGCTCCCCTTAGTGTCTACGAGGCCGCTTCTCTCGTGAGATCTACACGGCCTGCAGCCCAAAAGCTGTGCCTCGCTTGGTGTCAGACCAGCAACTTCTTTGGCTCATGCAGTGTGGCCCAGACCGCCTGCAGGTGGGGCCTGCTGTGCTGCCGCAACTGGATCGTTCCCGTGCACCTGCGCATGCCGCCCTGAAGAGAAGGGGGCCAAACGCTGCGGCAGCCAAGCACCAGGGTCATGCTTGCCCAAAAAAGTCGAATCTAATAGGTTTCTGTGATGGACACAGCAGCACGCAGCAACGGCAGGGGCCCCCCATCCTCTACTGGGCCCCCCTATTCAGCACCCTTTCCTGCGCAGTTGCACGTACCCTAGCAGTCAGCCGGTCCTGGAAGGCGTCGCTGATCCAGGCGCGCACGCGGCTGGCGGCCTCCTCGCCCGCCACCACCTGCGCAAGGGGCATTCGCCTGGGGGCCACCGCAAGCAGGGGAGCAGCAACAGCACACACGGGGCACACAGCGCCACGGATAAGCGGAACCAACCACGTCAGAGAGCGCGGGCCGCTTGATTTGTGAAGGCTGACTGACTCGGCGCAGAGAGTAGTGCAGAGGCCACAGCTGATGCGAGCGAGGTGGTAGGGTGGTGGTGCTCACAACGTGCGGGTGCGTCAGGTTGTTGGCCTCCAGCATCTCGAGCGTGTACGACAGCACCGGCTTGTTGCCCACCGGCAGCAGCGCCTTGGGCAACTCCTGCACGCCACCCCCGCCACCTGGCCACACTGAGGGGCAGGCGGGACAAACATGCAGGAGCCGGCGAGCGCGCTGCCCATCGATGTCGCAGCGGGACAAACACGAATGCTGGGCGCAGCAAAGAACAGCAACAAGCTGGCGGCCAGGGTAGTGCAGATCATGGAAGGAGGCAGTGGCAGACAAAAGAGCAAGGAAAGATGGGCTGTCGGATGCGCGGCTACCACCATACTGAAACGCCAGTCCGCAAGTCAGGCAACCATCTGGGTTGAGCGGCTTGGCGCCCCAGCTCACCTTAGAAACCAGAGGATAGAGCTGCTTGGAGAGGCCCCCGGCAAGCACCACCGCATCAAAGTCCATTGGGCCATGGCCCCCCCGCCCGGAAAAGCTGGCCACCCCAGGCATGGCACCAGTATGCCCCCGCTGTGCACAAAGCAAGTCTTTACAACGTTTCGGTGGCTATCAATCCTGTTCCGGAACAGTGCGTAAGAAGATACGCGCAGGAGTCCGAGTACAAATTACAAAGAAATGATAGGTCCTTCAAGTTGTGACTCCTTGATCAGCTGGCCAGCTTCAATGCAAGCTCTTTCTTGATCTCTGACTCGATCTGACTCTGAGGTCTGTCACCTGTGTGACTGTCATCATGCTGACCGGCCTTGATCGTACATTGTATGGATCGGCAAGAACGGTCAGGTCTATTTGTAGTTACCAGTAACCGACACAGGCTGTACTGCAAGAAACGTCTACCGTAGGACAGAGAGCCGGTATTGTTTGCGGCTTTACCAGACTAAACCCGTCAGTGTACCGTTTCTTCAAAATGTCATTCCCATCGACAGTTTTATTGACCGGCCGGGCTTTACGGAACCCATTTTAAAACCCAGCCCAGCTGGTGGTTCAACTCAACCTGAGCTTGAAACATCCCTGTTGAACAGTGAAGGGGCCCAGGGCCCAGGGGGGTTGCGCGGCGCGCCTCCTGCCTCCTGCCTCCTGTGCAGTGTGAAGGCTGATCCGGCTGCCTATGCAGTCCTGCAGGCGAACCGGAAGGAAGGGTGCTGATGTCAACCTACCACTGCCAGGGGCAAAGGCCGATCGCTATACCCAAAGCTTCTGAACGGAGTCTGTGGCCAGAACCACAACATGGAGAGGGAGGAGTTTCAAGAAGCGCTGAAGAAGTTTCCAAGAGTCCGGGATAAGGACTACAAGGTTGGGTCACATCATGGGGGCTGTCATGCATTGCAGTTGTTGTCACGTCCTCTGTAGTTGGCTGCCATATGGTGTCATGCTTGTACGGATGCTGCAGATGCTGCCAAAGCGCTGCGTTGTTTCCTGGCACTTCGCTGCATCAGGCGTTCTGCCACTCTGTCCTGCTCTGCCCCTTTGATGTTCTGCTAATCAGCGCAGCTTCCGCTCTGGCAGGCCCCTGACACAATGCTGGCAGCCACCACGGAGGCGCCCAGCTCCTGTGTTTCCGGGAAAGTACAACACCAACTATTGGAGGATAGTGAGCGCCACTCGGAGAGGAAAGCTCTGTCGGCTGCGGCTGGGGAGTTGGCTGAGAAGGTGACGGGCAGCGCACAGACGCGCGCGAGGGTAGCGCCTGTGGGCACGGCATCCAGACCGCAGGGTGAGCCCAGTGCTGCCTCGGCAGCGAAAGTAGCCCTGCTGTAGAAGGGCCGGCCGTGGCTGGTAAAAGGGGAAAGCCCCATCAGCATGCTGTCACAGGACTTGTGGATGGCCATCTCAACACATTAACTCTCGGCTCAAGCAGAACGGCCTTGCAGTCATTCAAACTGCGAAAGGAGGGGACTGGGCATTGCCAAGCAACACAATTCTGAATGCAAGAGAGGTGGCCCGCCTTGTTGCTGGTGGTTGACCTCAGACTATGGCTGCCCTTGTCCAGCTCGGTCGTTCTGGGAGCGCTTGGAGGAGGTGGTGGCCCAGCAGGTGAGCCCATGTGACTGTCGCACTTGCACATGGTCCGCCTGGTGGCCTGAGGTTTCGGGAACCTGAAAATGACATTGACAGCCCCCATATTACCAACAATCTCATGCCTCTAATTGTGAAGCTTTCAATCAGGGCGACCAGTGTGCTGGTAATTTTGCAAGCGCCCGGCTGCCAACGAATAGCAACGGCTTCCTGTGCTTGCAGTTACCTAAAGAGGATGCCAACAAGTTCTGCAGCCGTTTCCGGTCTGCCCACAAGGAGCTGGTAAGGCACTCTTCTACCGGGCCTGCCTGAGGTGACCATGCACTGCCCAGCCGCTGCTGGCCTGTCTCTGAGTGCGGGGGGTGTGCGGGGCCTGTTGGTTGCATCGCCGTGCAACGAGTGAGAACGATAAGGGCGGAGGAAGCGACACCAGATTCAGAATCGGTATGCAGCGAAGAGAGACTCTGGTTTTAGGGTGGTCGTACGGATTTGGGTCAGGGCCACAATTCACTTATGTCAAAGGTTGATGTTGCTCCGTGAGTATCTATGGATCAGCTAATGCGAAATGGTAATTCTCTGTGAACTTGCCTTCGCTGCCCTAGTGCGCCATGTGTGAGGTAAAAATGTGTAAAGAAGTCGCCCCCGCAACACTAACACAATTGAGGGCTGCGTGCATGCAGGTGGAGCACCGCCTCTCGCTGGATGCCATCGAGCGCATCGTGGTGCGCTGGGGGGAAGTCGGCCCGACATTTCGATGAGAAGAGCCAGAGACGACAAGGTAGAAGAGCCCCCATGATGGAGCCTAAGGCGCCAAGTATTTGGAACATCAAGGCTGGCCCCATTCGTCGCGGTTACAACAATCCTTAGTTGTTGGAGAACCTCAACTTCTTAATGTCGAAGGAACTTATCGTAGTTTGAGAGAATCGTACTTGTATTGTGGTTGATAGGATAAATGCTCGATGTATATTGTAGATTAGTAGATGTCGGATCCCCCAAAAAGTCCAGTAGGTCGCTTAAACCGGCAGCTCGTTGAGGCTGCTGGACTGGCAGCTCACTGAGGCTGCTGAGCTGGCGGAAATGATGAGCATGATTTGAAAAGCGGAGCACAAGTTTGACACCAGCGACATGCAAATCGAGCTGAATTGAAATTAGCTAACAACTAGGTCAGTGCAGAGGCTTTTAGGAGTGTTCGTGTGGCTTCCGACATGCATGGATTGTCACATGTGTGGTGAAAGACTCATCGTCAATCTGGCCGCACAATCAGCTAGCCTGTAAAGCTGTTGCTCGGCTTGCTTCATCTGAAGTACTTCGCGGTGTCACGCTCATGCATGTTTGTACATGTTGCCGGGCTCTAGGGCACCATGACACAGTCGTCTAGCTACGGTATGTATATATCCGCGCGTTCAGCTAGCAATCCATATGCATGAGCGGCGTCGACGTATATTACTCATGTGATGTATGTGATATGAACTGAGCCGGGTCATTGGGGGCAGGAATATATATGCTAATATATGATCAGCCGTCTGCAGACATGGGGTTGGCGCGCTTAGTAGGCCGCGCGCGGGCCAGGATAATGATGGGCTCATCCAATCGCCATATGCATGCATTCAGGAACTAGCTTATGGTACCGGATATATATATACGCGGTCATATAACAGCCAGCTCGGAGATATTGAGGCCGCCCATGCATGAATTGCATTCGAGCGGACGCGCGATCGTCATGCCTGCATTCGAGATCTGCACATGCCATATGCCAGGTGGTCACGTATTGCAAGCCAGTGCGCATTTTCACATCAATGTGCTATTGATGGTAAAGCTGTAGACATGCTCCCCAAGCTCTGGCCCATCAAAGAATATTGATTATTACGAACAGATGCATGGATTTAATCTACAGGCATCCGAAATTTCCGCTTTTGCAGTCAAGTTGTTGAACACCATCATTAAGATACAGATTTTCGGAACCGTCACCTTGGACTACGGTACATCCTGCGGACAATTGGATATGGTCGATATTTCACATATAATGCAAGTATAAGATACACCTTCTTGCAGACTGCCAGATTATGGGAGCTTGTGTTGCCAGCTTAATCCGGCTAACTCAGGCCTTGAAGATCCCAAATGCTCAAAATTTGACCAAGCTTTTCGAGCTTTCTGTTGAAAAGGACACCTGGCATGCGAACTGGCATTTCCATCGAACTCAACAATGGCAGAGTGTGAAAGGCCAGCTTCTTGAGGCCCTATTGCCACACTGTATGCTAAAGAGGCCCTGGATTGTCTACCTCTGGCGTTCTTGACATTTGTACGATAACTTGCTGGCAAGGCCCCTCTCCCACAGTCCCCGAGAAATGGTGGGGCTCCTTTGCAGCCGGGGATTCCTTAGTGTTGTCCTGGAAAAGTATATCGCCCACTTTGAACTCCCGCCGTGTCCCGTCACTTGTTTTCACATACCTGTGGTTGGCAACCGTAATGGAAGTCAACTAAGCTGTACAATAAATCCGGGCTCGTTTTGCAAAGGCAGCATCACTCATCTGTCTTGGAGTTCCTTCAGGCAATTGGACTTTCATGCCGTGCATGCCTTTCTGACGTATATATGATCGTTTTCAGAAATATTACAACACGTTCTACGTTGTCTTCCCGCTTTCGCTCGTTGACCAATATCAACAAGTGCGACACATGAGCGAATATGTCTTGAGTCGACTCTGCATGAAGTCGACTCCGCATGATCTGGAAAGAAAGTGTAGGCGGCCTGCTTCTTCCTGCATCACAGAGACGGAGCCACCCGCCAGGATCGACACCTTGATGTCTAAAGTTCGTGCCCCACCTCCATCGGTTGTGCAGCTTGTGGTGGGGCTTGCGCCGGGGGCGGTGCGCACCACTCACCAGCTGCCGGCGGTGCACGTGACCATCTGCACCGCGGGGGCTGCGTGCCACTCCTGCTGCGTGTGCGGCACCAGCTCGGTGAGCACCACCTTGGTGGGGGAAGGCGCAGTCAGCGTGAACTGGGGGTCGGTGCCCGCAGCATATGTCTTCTTCTCGAAGTTCTGGAATGTGCACTCCTGCAGGTGCGTCTCACCATCCGCAGACACCTTGCATTATCGAGAGGGGCCCGTTTAGTAGTACGCACCTGCAGCATGCCTGTTTTTGTCTCCTTTCGTATAGACCACTAACATCGTCAACATAGCGGTGGGCTTTCATATTGAAAGCCCACCGCTAACAAAAACCGATTGGTGAGACTAACAAACAGCGCCTTCTCTCGAAACAGAAACCTTTACAAGTTTGTCATTCTTTCTTCAGAATCTGACTTTGGCCCGCCTTGGCTCCACAAGGTGCATCAATGAGGGACTTTTGTCAATCCAGCTGAACATGTCAACCAACAGAACCTTTCCTTCTGTAACTTATAGGAAAAGTTGCTGGAGCTGGCTTCTTGACCCTCACCCACAAGTGCACGTACGGAAAGTTGGGGTCTTGGGCATCGGACTGAGCCATGCCAGCAACGAGACCTGCAGAATGCATCCAGGCACACTATCAGCGCGCAGCCCAGGGGGGGACACTGCAGCCTGGCAGCTCGCCAACACCGACGCTAGCTTCGGAGTCACAGGGGCTGGGACTACACCGCTGATGTCGCCGATGAGGTGCACCAGCAAGTCAGGGAGTGGGTGCACTGCCTGCTGCAATGCTGGCCTGCCCCGGTCGCATGAGCTGCCACATAAGATGCATTGCCCATGTTCAAGTCTTGATCAACCTTCCTAGCTGGTCTGCTCTCACGACGGTCACTGTCTAACGTGACATATGGAACCCAATCACAAAACTTTGTTCAGCTTGACTCTTACGGTGCTTGGGTGTCTACAAACGGGTCAAAATTCCTAAATGCTAGCGCTCACCTCTCCGCTCTCTACTTGTTAGATAAGATCTTTAAACCCACTGCGTGGTAATCTGTCACGCGCTGTACCTCTGCACTCCACCCCCCAGTCGGTCCTTTGGCGGCCACTGTCATCTAAAGTCAACTTGTCCCAAGGCAAGACGACTGCCTACTGACCATGCACCCGAGTGCAGCACCAGATTGCGGATGAAGCCTTGCGATCATGGGCAGTCTGTCGCCTGCAATGGTTCTACGGACCAGCCAGGACTACCATTGGCTGCGGATTGGCATTGGCAAGGACCATGATTGCATGCCATTGATGAGAATCAGGCCGGCCCTGGGCCTGGGAGACGTGGCCTCTCTATA